GATGTTTCCAGGGATGGGGCCTCCACCACCTCTCTGGGCAAGCTCGAAGGGCTCGAGACCCTGCAGCAGCCCTTCAGGCAGCGCCTCAGGGCCACCATGTCTTTGCCTGGGCCGCTGCCTCGCAGGCCCCCTCCTGCCCCAGTGCTGTCCCCCTGGCCGCCGGCTCCCCAAGATACCTGTGAGGGGAAAGGAGCAACGATGGCGGGGAAGAGGCGACAAGGGACGGAGGTGGTGGCCCTCCTCAGGCGGAGGGGGACTTTGGGGGCTGTGGTACTGTGGTGGGTGTGAAGGGACCATTGGGGGTTTGTCGTGAGAGGCCGGTGTCTTGGGAGGGCAGGCAGGCAGGCTGTGGAGCAGGCCAGGGTGAAAGGGAGGATGCAGGGCTGGCTGTGGGAGCTAGCCCGTTAGGGGGTGGAGGGTACGAGGAGGGTATCGCTGCTACCTGTTCTCTGCCCGGCGCTAGCGTGGTCGCTTGGTTTGGCCAAGCCATGTGCGTTGAGGTAGCAGTACTGAGCCGTACCCCTGCAAAGGAAACCGAGAAGTGACCCTGCTACTCGGAGAGAGAGGAGAAAGCGGGGGCAAGAGGGGAGCCTGCTCCTCAGTTCCTGTGCTCACTCACCAGGTTTTTTTATACGTTTATGCAGGGAAAGGAAGGTCAAGTGCAAATCTTAGGAATGCTGTATTTCTGATAGCCAAAATGAGTCAGTTCCGTGCAAGGGTTGGGAACTTGTGTTCGTGTCCCTGCTCCCGCACCGGGGTTCCTGGTACTGGTGCCTAGGGGAGAGTTTCTTCGAACCAGAGACCCAGTCCTCCCATCTCTGTATCCCCCTGCACCTTCCTGCCCTAATATCTTTCTACCTGTTTCTCGGGTCACCCAAAGCCTTTTAGCTCTGAGCTTCCTCTTTCATCCCACCCTTAATCCTACCTCTCCTGCCAAAAGCTGTGTCTTGCAAGATCACCTCATCCCTGGTACATCCCTAGCTACTGTTTAGCTGCCTTTGCTCTGCCTATCCCCCTCCTTTCTGTCTCCTTCAGCATCCCAACTGGCTGTGAGCGTTACTTACCTTCTGGCTGATCTGATACCAGCCAAACCCACTGGCTCTCACTGTACAAGCAAAGATGGGCTCCTGCTGCAGCTGGGCTTTCAGAAACCTGAATGCCTCATTAAATCATTTCCAGGGGAAGAGGCAGTGTGAGTTCAGACTTCGTTTTGACGAAGAAAAAATTGAAATCCAGTTTCTCTTTTCCTGCATACTTGTTCTAATCACTGGGTTGGGATATAAAAAGCAATATTCTTGAATCTATCTTTGAATATCTGAGTTTTTTTTTCTTTTTTCCAAATAAAGCTCCTCAGCAAATTCAACAGTAGTGAATCTGAGTGTACGGCACTTTCAGTTCAAAAACGATCTTCAAAAGTAAAGAATCAAAAGTACAGTTGGGAAAAAAAATACTTAAGCTTAAAAGAAATAATTGGGGGAAAAAATCCATTTCTTGTTTCCCTGCCTGATAAATTCTTCAGAAACTTTGATATTTAACATCATTAGGCACAGTTAACCTGAAAAATAACAGGCTTTTAAAGCAAAGATTTTCTTTTTGTGAAAGGCAGAACCAGGATTTTTTTGTTTATTTCCCTTTCTTGGGAGTTTTTTTTCATTCTTTCAGCACCTGGCCTCAGGTTCATTTTACATGCTGCTTAATATCTGTGAAATAACAATTTCTGAGCATTTGTTCTGTGTGGTTTCCCCCCCCGCCCCGTGAATGCTTCCTTAAGCATATCCTTTTTTTTTTGTTTTGTTTCATTTCTGCCTCCTTGTTGGAGGTGGGCTTTTAAAAAGTGTTATTTTTGTGTAATTACATTCAAACATTTGTCACATTGTTCTGCTTGTGTATTTTTACTTTGCTTTAGTTTGGTGATTTTTTTAAACTTTTCCTTAAAGAGCCAGTAGCTGAGTCATAAGAGACTGTCAGAGTAATGGTCTGTTCAATACTCCCTTGAAAATCAAGGCATCATAATGGTTCTTTTGCTTAAATAGTTACTTTGCTTATGATCATTTGAAGGAGCTTAAAAAGAAACTGATATTTAGGTGCTTACATGCCTTTAAAAGTTACAGTCCAAAGTGCCACCATAAAGCTGCGACTAAGGCGCTTAAAAACGACGCAGAGAGCTCAGTGCAGAAAACAATCAAATGCTTATCAGCTCAAAAGGCTAGAGAGGATGAAATTTGCCCTTTTGAATACTTGGGATACTTTGGGTGATAAAGAATTACTTTTACTAAACATAGGAGTTTTACAACATCTGCCATTTGGACAATTTTAATCATATTATTTACCAAATCTGCTTGAACAGGGATATCTGGAGTTCCCTGGCTAGGTGGAGCTGTTTCTGTGGAACCAAAGGTTCATTTATTTATTTAGCCACAAAAGGAAGACAGGATGTGCAATTGCCATCGAGCTCCATGTCTGTTACCTTGCCAATAGCCTGCACACCTACAATACCCATGTTAATTCAAATATACCAGATGCCGTTGCAGTAATCTTACTAATTTTATTGACATTCCAGCTTTTATAATGAAAATATCAAATACAAAGACAAATCCCGTGTTTCTGGGTGCTCTCCCTCTTGTGATCTTTCTGCAGTCCTTCTGTCTTTGTACAGTATTGTTGATGGGACAAAGAAGTGGACGTCAAGAAAGAAGCAAGAAATTAGAGCTGGCAGTAAGTGAGACCATGAAGGCAGAAGCAGAAGTACAAAATAATAAAGAAGCAGAAGAGCCGAAGGCCGAAGACCAGAGGGTAACATCGGTCTTTGGTGTGGCAGACTTAAAAAATGGTAATAATGTTTTGTCTATTCTTCACTCTCATATTTTCTGTTTCTAATGCCTGCTGTTCCATTCTCTGTCCTTAGGCTTCATTTTCTCCTATTCTTTACCTCTTCACTGAGGAGTATGGAGACAGTTCTCATTTTGCCAAGTAATCATTTTGGTTTTTTGGGAAGGGTTTACATGAGATTCTTGGAGCTCTTCCCCCTTTCAAGTCCATAAATTGGCCATTGCAGCCAAAAGGTCTAGATGCTGGCCCTGTCTCTTTCCAAACACAGCCAGCGTTGCTTCTGGATTTGCTAAACCATGGACTAGACCCTAGTTATTCTGCTGCATCACTAGGTTGGCCTCTCAAAAGCTGCCATTAGTATTTCAGGTGTACATACTGTTCTATACCAGCTATAGCCCACCCTTACCACCAACTGCATGCATTTCAGAGTTGTTCTGAGTTTCCGTTCCATGTCCTCTCTCCCTTTGGTGATGTCTTCATAAAAAAACCTAATCTCTGACTATGATTACTTATACCCCTTTGGGGCACAGAATATGCTGCCTTTTTTGTGCAGTGTGAACAGCTGTGACTCACTTTTTCCACTTCGCTCAGGCTAATTCCTTTCTTTGAAACTGAGATAAAGAATACCAGAGGTAGGCTGAAGGGGAAACTTAAAGCCCATGTGGTGGACAGCTAGCATGTGGTCCCACACGTAGCTCTTCATTTTGTTATTAGGCCTGGGTGTGTAAAAGGCTGAATAAAAATCCTCATACAGATACAAATGACTTTCACTTTCTTTTCTTGTACCTATCTCCAGGCATCACTTCTTTTTCTGTGCCTACAGGAGCTATTGGACTGTACAATGTTGGACAGAGCTGCTGTCTGAACTCTCTGCTCCAAGTGTTCCTCATGAATAGATACTTCACTGGGATACTTCGAAGGTACCACCTGTTCGAACTACCTGAGATACTTCCATTGTTGCTCTGTTGTCTCCACTCCTTTTTTTTATATGGGATGTACATTTGAAGGCTTGGATCATCAAGGTGCTAGCAAGGTGCTTTCAGCTCACTCAGGAAGGTCTCTGCCTTGTTGTGTGTATCATACAGACTAGGGCCTGCGAAGGTAGAAGTTTCAGTTTTCTGACTTGTTAGACACCTTTGATTCATGTGCCGTTTGCACAGTGGTAAGCTGCAGTCCTGAACTGAGTCTTTTTGACTTGTATCTCTCTTTTCTGTAACAGGATATGATTTTATTCCAGGTATGCTCATAGGCTGTTACTACTAAAGCATGTGTTGTATGTAACCATGTCCACTATTGATTTTGTAACTTCAAGCATGTAAACATAAACATATTGTGATCCATAGCCTCTGGCCCCTGATTGTCCTGGCTAGCACCTGATAGAGAAGAGTAAGTGTTGTTGCAGATGGCGAATACAGAGTGTTATTTTGTTTTGCTTGACTCTGCTCTCTGCTTGTTTGTGAGGAGGATTTGGGCTTCTGCCTCCCTACCAACCACACTAATAACTGGTTTGATTTGGTTTCAGTTTACTCACTTCACTGCAGCTTTAATCATCTAAGTGGATCATTCCTATTCAGTTGTCCTTTCTCCAGGTTTCTTACATGCTCACCAGTGTGCAGAGGGGGAAGAAGACAAGTTCCAAACATGCAGAGATGAGAAGTGTCATAAATGGGCAAAGCTAAATAACGTACACAGTAGGTTATCATTGTTATTTGAAGAAAGATGTAGAAAAACCTGTGGACTGCATAAAAGTTAGGGAGGATAAAGAGCTTTCCAGCTGGCATATAGTTGAAATACAAGCATTATGATATACATGCCCATAAAATTTTGAGGATATGTTGAGAATGAAGGCATGAACAGGTGGGAGGCAAGAACAGCTCTGAAACTGGCTGTAACTGATGTTGTTTCTAGAGCCTAGAAAGCACTTCAGGTCCCACTCGGTTTGCCCCTTATTCAGGAACAGGCCAACTTAAAATTGTGGCCTTTTACTTTAGAACTGTCAGCCTGCACTGTGGGATGAGCTAGTGCAGGTGTCTGCTTTCCCTTTTTCCTTCTTTTGCTAAAAACATGCCCATTCTGGTTCCTCTTGAGTTGCTGTCTGTGCTATCCACCTCTGCTCCTTCAGGTGTCATGGCTAATATTTCTCCATCGTACTGCTTGATTACCATTCATGTTGCTTCTTCTCTTTATAGGATCACAGTGCCACAATGTGCTGCACAACAGAGGAGGAATGTCCCATACCAAATGCTCCTGCTGTTGGAGGAGATGCAGTGTGGCAAGCGGAAAGCTGTTTCTCCCATAGACCTCGCTTGCTGTCTTTCAGTATACAGAGTGAAAAGTAAGCAGCACTGTCTCATGCCCACCTCTGTCTGCAGACTAGGGATGTTAATTGTCAAGCACTAACAAGCAGTACAGACTCTGACATCTCATGCAGAGATTCAGAAATGTGAGGAGTTAGGTACATGATAATGTAGTGCTCTGTCTCCCAGTTGTGATTGAGGTGCTGGAGCGTGTCCAGAGAAGGGCAACAAAGCTGGTGAAGGGTCTGGAGCACAGGCCTTATGAGGAGTGGCTGAGGGAACTGGGGTTGTTTAGCCTGGAGAAGAGGAGGCTGAGGGGAGACCTTATCACTGTCTACAACTACCTGAAAGGTAGTGAGGTGGGTGTTGGGCTCTTTTCCCAAGTAACAAGTGATAGGACGAGAGGAAATGGCCTCAAGCTGCATCAGGGGAGGTTTAGACTGGATATTAGGAAAAATTTCTTCATGGAAAGGGTAGTCAAGCATTTGAACAGGCTGCCCACAGAGGTGGTGGAGTCATCATCCCTGGAGGCATTCAAAAACCGGGTAGATGTGGCACTTTGGGACATGGTTTAGTGGGCATGGTGATGTTGGGTTGATGGTTGGACTGATGATCTTAGAGGTCCTTTCCAACCTTAATGATTCCTAATTTTTACTTTCATTATAAATAATCCAGCCACCAATCCAGGAAACATGAAATTCCTATTCTACCCTTAATTGGTTTAGTTGTGGACATGGTAGTGTTAGGTGAATGGTTGGACTGGATGATCTTAAAGGTCTTTTCCAACCTAAACAATTCTATGATTCTGTGATTCTATGCTGTGTCTTACTTGTGAGGAGGAGGAAAAAAGCCCCTGCCAGATATCCTTGCTGATGTCCAGCGGGTGGAAGACTATCAGACTGCTAGAAGATTCAGCTACTGATACTGGCCAGAGGGAAAGGGCTGTGCAGGGCAGAGAGAGGACAGCTTATAGCTTGGTCTGTTTTGCTATACTGGCATGATAGCAGTGAAACAGCTGCTATTTCTTATTAGAAGGAAGGGATCATGTGGAAAAGATACTGAGTTCACCCAGATCCTCAAGGATAGAAACCGTATCTTTCCTGTTCCTTGTTATAAGGGCAGAGAGAAGAATTTGCTGGCTTAAACTCCCACCTGGGCAGGGTCCCAAAGGAGAGAGATTGTTAAATGCATGAATGACCGGTGACAATGGGATGCTGAGGGTCTGTTTATGTGTACAAATACACACAGTATATCCAAATGCCCTGATCTTTATCATATAAAAGCCAAAACAGGACAGCACTGAAAGGAACAGATGGTAGCCAGCCCAGACCTATATTAAGGAGAAACGTGAGATAACCTGAATATTTCTGTTTGCATCGTTCTTGTCTCGAGACTGAATGGCTCTATATGCTGTCTTCTCTCTTCCAATTAAAGAGAGATGCCCAAAGAGAGTTTGTAAAGCTTGACAGTTTCCCACCTTGTCCTTCTGCTTTAAAATTCAGCTGTGGTTCATACCCAGCAAATGGTGCTTTACCTGGATCGCATATGTGCTGTTAGACATGAGGAAAGGTATATTTTCTGAGCTTCATTTAGTCAGGGATGTTTCTAATCTTATTAAGAACCCAGCTGAAGTCAGTACCTGCAGACTTGCAGGGAAGTTGAAAGCACTTCACCTCAGGGTGTTGGATCATTCCACAAAATTTGTTTAACTTATGATCAAGCATAGAGGTAGTGCAGAAATATAAAGATTTTGCTAAACTATGTGTAGTTTTCACCCAGTTCCTAAATCTTGAGTTCATTGTGGGCTGAGAACATCAGTTCTTCACATTCAAGGCCATGGGTTCCTGTCCCCCCCACCCTCCCAGTTCAATCTTGAAGCAATTCTCTGCTAAGCCATTCTAAGCAAGCTGTGCATTATGCTGTATCCCAGCATCATAGGCTTATTAATATGCCAGTTTAGCCGGAGTGAAAAGCCAAACCGTAACATTACTGCATCATCCTTGGTTTCCTGTGCTGAAACTGTACGCTTTTTCCCTGGGTAGAGATCAAGGGGTTTGTACCATTCTGTAAATGAGACATATGGATAGGCCTCTCTATCATTTTTATCTCAGCACTCAGGAGTGCTGAGGGGAGGGGAAGACAAGTCTGTGGAGTAACAAATGTGAAAAAGAGAACAGAATCTTCCCTGTATTGTTTATAAGAAGGATTCAAATAAATGCAACCCTCAACTCAAGGAGACATCTGAGCCCTATCCTCTGGTAGGTATTGGGTATACTCTTGGCCCTGCGTCTGGTGACAAGGACATGACTTTTGCACTGGGTTGTACAATGGGGTACTCGAGCCCTCCTGTCTTTTCCCACTCAGGACACATGGAGACATTTGCAGTTCATCTCCATTCTAAGCTCTATCCCTGGCAGGGAGAGGCAAGTAAACAAGAGACTGGATCTAATGCGCGACAATAAATCTCCCTTTGCCTTCTGTGGGAAATCTGTGCTTGGTGCTGTTCATAATACTGACTGAGGTTGTGTTTTCTGTTTGTCCAGTGTTTGTGCAGTATGATGCTGCCCAGCTCTTTCTGACTCTCTGGAACTTGATAATGAGGCAGATGAAAAAGGCAGAGCTGGTAAGGACAGTCACCGAAATGAACACCAGGTCCTTTGGCCATTGTCATGTGTGCTTTCCTCTGCTTCTTGAAGAAGAATCCCATTCGTTGACAATTGGCCTAAATGACATTCTTAAAATTATCCCCTGTTTGAATCTTTCCTCTCCTGTTTCAAATGGGAAAGGGAGTCTTGATTTCTTAGGCTTCAACATTTTGAAACACAGTTAACTTTTGTTCATCCTACTTCAAGGGCATGCCAGGGTCTCCATTCTAGTGGGAGAGTTGATTAACAACAAAAAAGTTGATCTTCTTGCAACACTGCATTTAGTTACCTCATGTTTCTTTTTTCCCCAAATTTCTTTAAGCATTTATTGACATGTCTTGACACAGCTCCTCCATTCTTTGAAGTCAGCCGTGTGCATTTCATTACAATTAGTTACTGTTAGTATGTTATGTATATGACAGTTCCTCCTGGGGAGGAGGTAAGAGAAAAGTGACTCTTCCTCACCCACTGTCATAGTTTTATTCATACAGAAGATAGGCTCCTATTGCAGTTCCAAACAAAACAAAAAAATTCTGCATCAAAGCAGACATTTAACTTTCTGATCTTGCAGGCTGTGTCTTTCCCCTCTGCTAGGAGATGAGGGGAATGAGTTGTTCTCCTTTAAATGGTGGGAAGCGCCCTGTCCACATAGTCAATGTCAGATCTGGGTTCAAGCCTTAAAGCAGTAACATTGCATGAAGCAACATGTCCACATGGGCTTTCCCACCCACAGAGGGAAATACCTCAGCTGTCTTCTTCATAAACCTTGTTTTGGCTTTTTTTTTCACCCCTCCAGGTTGCAGAACTGGGTAATTTGTACACCATCTGTGTACAGGAGCACCTGGCCTGTCAGAAATGCTCTTCTGAAACAAAGAGGAACAGCAGCATGTTAACCCTTCCACTCCCAGTGTTGGATTCCAGTTCTCACGTGCTGAAGACTCTGGTAAGTTCAGTGGCAGCACTGTTTCCTTAGGAAGAAGATTCCCCTCTGTTCACTGCAGCAGCCTTCTCCTTGCAGCACTGCTGTCTGCTGGGACTCATCTAGGATCTCTGCAAGAACCTCTGCAGGGTGTCTGGGTCTTTGAGGTGATCTTTTCTCATTCACATTTCTTCTTTGTTTTGAGGGGTTCTAAATTTCTCAAAAAATGTGTTTGATTTGGGGGATGGAAAACGAAGTCCTTGAATCGCCTTTCTGAAAAGAGTGTTGACTAAATACTCTGTAATACTTAAAGACTCATACTACACAGTGATGTATACCTGTGAGACCTTAGATACTGCAGCGAGGTGCCCTAGATAACTTGTAATCCCTGGCCAGATACTTTTAAATCAGTACTGCTGTTTGATATCCAGATACAGCAGTGATGTTGGCTATGTAGATGCTGCCACAAATAGTAGATTTTTCAGGTGAGACTGGATCATTGGACCTTATTTATACTGTTTCAGCCTTAAGGAACCTCTTTCGAAAACCTCTAAGGCTTTGAAGTAGGTATAAAAGACAAGCATCAACATCTTTTTTGTGGAAAATGTGGTACTGTATTTTTTTCAACTAATGTAATCATACCAGCAGTTAGGAAAAAGGGGGTACCCTTTTTTAGGCTGCCAGGCAATCTTTTGTCCTTTGAATAAAATATGCTGTTTGCATATACCCTGTACAAGTAGAAATAGAAATCCAGTTTGAAGGAAGTTGAGAGAAATCTCTGTCTTCTTAGGAGAACTGTCTGCAATACTTTTTCCATCCAGAAGAGTTGACGGGTCGCAACATGTGTTTCTGTGAACAGTGTGGAAGGAAAACACCTTTTTTGCAGGTAATCAGAGAATGATTTCCCCATATGTCTCTTATACGCAGAACTCCCTTTAGGACTGGGAAGGGTGGGGAAAGGATTCAACCATATCAGTTTAAGAGGAGATCAACAACTCAAAGACTTGTCAGTACAGCAATATCAGCTGGGTATAAACCACATGCATCTTTCCTGATAAGAAGGTCCCTGCTGTAGATGTAGCTCTAGCAACGAAAGAATGCTTTCATGGGTTTTAATGTAAGTCACCAAGGGATGTAGCATTTCTGTACCAGCAGAAAAGCTGCTGTTGGTTTTTGTTGTTTCTACTCTGGGGCTTTACACCGCTTTGTAGCTCCAGGGGTAGACAAGAATGTGTTACCGGAGCTGTGCATACACATAAAAGTAGGCTACTGTAGGGTGATTTCCTTTCTTCCTTGCTCTCCACTGGGCTCCCCATTTTCTACAGTATTGGTCTCTGCCAGCCAATGAATTAGCTGTTTCATGAAGAGGCAAGTTCATTGAAGAGAGAGGTGTGTGAGGGAGACTGCCTCAGCTCAAGGCTTGGAGGGGGCTCTCCACATCATTTTTAAGAGTGGGCCACCTCCAAGGCCACAGTGCATCCATATGTCTTGGTGGCAGCCATGGCAGTAGCAGTAAGTATCAACAAAGGTGGTGCTGGAAGGAATGAGCTGTCAGCTTGGTGTCCTCCATGGAGCTGTAGTGGCCACATGTCACAAAGAAGTTGGCTTGTCTCTCCTCACCAACCTAGTGCTACCAACCTAGGGTTAAGAAAGCAGATGGGAAACAAAGCAGCCCATGAGACATCCAAGGCTGGGTGCTGATCATGCTGAAGTTGAGAAACTTGAGTATCACAGCTCCATTACGTGTATGTGTCTCGTGTACAAAGGTTTGGTATTTGCTGTCCAATGGAATTGGCAATCATTCACTGTAGCACTGACTGCTCTCCATGCTACATTTACTGGGTGGCAATGGCTGTTTCCACCCACCTCGCCAGGGTTTGTTCCTTAGTTTTCAATTGTATTATTTATTGCTTTACAGAGCATGAAGCTAGTCCATCTGCCACAGACTCTGACCATACACCTAAAGCGCTTCTGCTATGAAAAATCATCCTACATTCACAAGCTTAGTCACTATTTGCCATTCCCACAAGACCTTGATTTCAATGCAGTCTTGACAGAAAATCAGTGCCAAGCAGATGACAAGGAAAAGGTGAGATACTCCTAATGTCCTGTTTAAAAAGGACAGATTTTCTTATCCCCTCAGCTTAAGTCTCATAAAAACTTAAGAGATCACACTAGTACTTGCCTGAGTTCAAAGCACCTGTCTTAAAAATGCATGTCTCGGGCTTTACCTGTGCCTGGTGTTGTCTCGCATCCCATGGTTCTAACTGGTTCAGGCATTATTCAACTTTCTGTGCTCAGATTAAATCACCAAATGCACCAAAACTGGAGCTTTCTGCCATAAGGACAAAACCCAGGCTTTTAAAAAAAAAAAAAAAGCCAATCCCTTTTTTTCTGAGAGTGTTTAGTATAATTTTTTTTCTTCCATTTCTAAATATACTAAAGAAAAGATGAAAACACAGTTCATTTGGATGGCCAAATCCAGACATTGCAAACAGTGTCTTAGAGGCAACTTCGGTCCTGTGGTTCAGCCTCCAGGGCAAGGTGGTCTCAGTGAGCAGCAGACCTACCGCTTTGCAGAGCTTGCTAGTCCAAGACAAGGGAACTCTCTTCCTGGCAGTTTCCCATGCAGTGTTGTTTGCCACATAGTTTTGAGGTTAGCGGGGAGATGACAGCTTTGCTGAGCAGCTGAGAGTGATCTGCGATGCTGTGGATCTGTTCCCCTTACTGAGAAATCACAAGGAAAAGTGTGGCAACAGCAAAACCTTGCTGGTGCAGTGTTGGCTGTAACCTCTTTGCTGCCCCTTTGCTGTCCTACTGCCTTTTTTGCGTTCCTGTCATCTCCAGGGAGGCTGCCAGCCCATAGCTGGCAGGCAAAAGCCTGAGGGTAAGAGCGAAAAAGGCAGGATCCTCAAGGCCAGTCTAATATTTTTCCTTATGAAATGCACATTCTTGCTGTCCTGACTACTGCTTCTCTTCAGCCAATGGTAAATGAGAATTGCTGCACTGAAAGTTACTTTTTGTGGCTCTTCACAGGCTGCCTGGCAGTATGAGCTTTTTGCCGTTGTTGCTCATTCAGGATCAACTAGTTGTGGACACTACTGTGCCTATATTCGAAGTCTCACAGAATGTAAATGGTATTGCTTCAACGATTCTGAGGTTTGCCAGGTGAGGAGACAAATCCACATTTCTTTTGTAGCTTCCTGAACACTCCTCCAGATCTCATTCAGTCTGACTGACTGCTGATTAAAGAGAACCAGGAAAGAAAACTGAAACTGCAGAGCTTTGTGCACCTCATTCCTCTGCTACAGCATACTCTGAGCTGAGGGCAAAGTGGCTCTGGCTTCTGTACCAAACAAGGCCTCAGGTTCCGGTTTGCAATTTGCAGAAGCAACCATTTGCTGTATAGCCTATTTTATGTACCTAGATCTGTTTAATGTACGTGTTCAGAAGCAGCAAAGGAACTGTTTTTCCTCAAAGGGTAAAAGCAATAAACTGATTTATTAAAAGGTGTTCAGTTCCTGGAAGTACCACCACTTTTATGAGGACTGCAGTGCTGGTATCACAATACCACTCTGAAGAGTTTTTACCAGCTTCCCCTTGTGTGTTTTTCTTCTCTAGGTGTCGTGGGATGATGTTAAATGCACCTATGGACATTCCAACCTCCACTGGTAAGCAAACACATCTCTGTTTTTATGTTTTTACCAAGTGCTGCTCTGGGATTTGGAATGAGGGTAGCAAAGAGAAGGAAGACATGGTTTGAACTGCATATTGCTTGGGATGTGCAGGGCACGCAGGAGAGCAGAAGAGGCGTCCTTGTATTCTGGTTACTCTGATGTGACTGTATACGACTACACCGGGAGCCTGCAGGATTACTGAGTAGTCACAAATGGGACTGCAGGAGCGGTCTTGTTACTTATGATTGCCACTTGGACCCTATATCCTGCCTGAAGTTAGATACGTCAGTCAGGATTCCTCCGTGCTTTTTGGTTTGATGCAACATAAGAAAACAAGCCGTGGAGAGGGATAATCCCTCCTATAAGTGATAGTGCTGCCAGGGAGTCAGCTTTACATGCTGCCTTGGGAACACTGGAGAGGGCCAGTTCAGTTGACCTAAACCTCCAAAAGCTGAGCAGGAGCAAACCTGGGAGGTTACTTGCAACCTAGATCTTCGAGCATACATCTTGTTTTGCTTTTTCTTTGCTTCCACAGGGGAGAAACAGCCTATCTCTTGATTTACATGAAAAAACGTCCTCAGTAGCCTTATCCAAGAGTATCAGAATGTCTCGGTAAGCTGTGTGTTGTCCATGGAGCTCAGCACCTCTGTGCCAGTGTGGACGTGTACAAATGTTCCACAAGAAAGACATTCTGCAGTCAGTCAGCGACCTCTGCCTTCTCATTTGTTTATGAAGAAAGTGCAAGAAAGTCTCTGCTAGAGAAAGGATCTAAGAACTGTTTCACCTAGAAACCTTTTCTTTGATATTTCTGTGATTCTATATATTAATTTCTTCCTAAAAGATAGTAGTCTGTGTCTCTGCTGACTTACTTCAGTGCTGGTGCCTAGGTTCCAGTACAGGGGAAGCGTCTGGCCTGAAAGCCTGCATGATGTTCCAGGGAGGCACGCGGTATGGCTGGAGAGCTGTGATAGCCATACCTAGCCAGGAAGACTGTAAGAGATTGAGACTTACTCTGCCGTTTTAGTGCCATGTTAGATGCTAGCAAGCTGGGCTGGGGACCCCAGAAGTCTTGAGAAACAGCTGGAACAAGGACCAGAACCCTTATGACACATGCACCAGTGATGTTTACTCCTTAAAACCTTCCTGAAAATGAATCACTGCAGGGATTGAGATGTGTTTGAAACTTGGTGTCAGCATGAAGAGGTGCTTTTAAATCAGGAGCTATTGTAGTAGTTCTGATTTACAAGATGAGTTTGTATATATTTATGCAGATAATTATTGTTTTAGCATGCTTATTGGGTATTTATATGCATTTTCTTTCCTCTGTAGAGGAGAATATTCAGAGCAATAGAGATTCTGGAGCTGGCTAGTGATTTCACACAATTGTTGTGGTTTAACCCCTTGCTTGCTTCCCTGCCCCTGGTGGAATGGGGGAGAGAATCAGAAGAGTAAAAGTGAGAAAACTTGTGGGTTGAGATAAGAACAATTTTATTTTATTTCAATTATTAAGTATAATAATAATAAAGATTTTTGCATCACTTGCTTTGTATATTCAATCACTCACCACCTGCTGACCGATGCCCAGCTAGTCCCCAAGCAGCAATCACTGCCCCCCT